TGGCCCCCCGGGGCTGCTGCTCGCCGCCCGCCGTGTCCCGCGGGGCTCTGCCGCACGCCGGGGCCAGTGGCCGCCGCAGAGCCTGGTCACACACTGCTCCTCTGTACTGCGTGCGGACAGTCCCACTCGGGGGCCAACACGGCCTTAACTGCAGAGAGCTCTTTCTGTAGACACATGGCACCTATCATCAAGGTACATGTGTCTCCATATCCATATTTACTCGCCTGGGCTCTTCCATACAATATTAGGTGTCCATTAGCGACCGCTTTCTTGTAAGCTGTTGATATTCTCATACCTTTTGTGTGCTGTGCTTTAATGCCCTGGAAGAGCCAGCATTTAGGGGTTTTGTGGTATTTATAGTCCTGGAATGAGCCAGGGACGTTCTGTCAACGGGATTATTCCTTCCTTCCGGCATCTCGTAGTAATCTGTTGACCTTAATCACTTGGCGATGCTTTGGAGATGCAAAACATCATATTTCTTTCTAAATGTCATATTTCTCACAGGCTTCATGCTAACCTTAAATTTTCAGTGAAGCAGGTTTGTTACTTGCAAAAATGTTGAATGTGACTCATGGCCCCAGCAAAACTGTCTGAAATTAGTTATGCCCTCTCTTGCTTGCTTAATTTGTGACCAAATGTAAAGATCGTGTTACAAAAATAAGGTGAAAAGAAACCCATTCCCCAAAGAAAGCATGTGCTGCTCCTGCAATACCCTGAAAGCAATGGGTCTTTGGAATTATATAAATATTTTTTTCTGATGTTGCCCTCTGGTGGAGGGCTAATGAAGTTCTACAGCAGCAAACCGCTTTTGTGCAGGAAAGACCAAATATTTTAACACCAAAATTCCCATAATGACACACTTCTCTGTGAAGAATTTCAATATTTAATTTCCAAAAATGTACAAAACCCATAAAGTATTACAGTGGCAACTAAATGAAAACTATGTATAAGTGGAGTTAATTAATACCATAATACACTGTTGATAACTACATCCTGATACTGAATGCGATTTTGAACACAGGGTTCCTTATAGCATCTTTGCTGCCACTGCACCGTTGAAAGGGTTTTTCCCAGCACATATGAGATTATGTAGTTATATAACCAAATCCTTCCAGTATTTCATGGCTATGTCATGCCAATGCAGATGCTCAAAAGAAACTTGAATTAATAGATTTTTTTTTTCTTTCTGAAGGTCAGAAGGAATAGGAAATGATTTAGTAAGGAAGCAATGGGATTATATTTGGAAAGGAAATTCAATTGGAAGAGTACCGAGCACTTTTTCTGAGCTGGCTGTTGAGATCGTTAAATCTGTGGGGTGAAGGATCCTAGTGTTGGTCATTCACACATTACCTACAATATGGAGCCCTTTTTGTAGGAAAAAAAAAGTGTTATTGCTGCAGCTTCTACTGTTAAGTAGTAGCAATAAATATTAGTGAAATAATAACATTTAATAAGTAAATGATGACCGATTTGGGAGAGATAAATAATTTATCATATCACATAAGAATGGATTTAAGGGCCAGATGAGACTTTTCTGGACATAGTCTCCTACTGGAGGAAAATGGGTTAGTCCTTAATTGTATAAAATATGAAAAACGGCAAATATCCCTAGGGTAGTGAAATTCTTTAGTGAATAAGCTGCTGCGGCAGCCATCTAAAATAGAAATTTTATATCCATCACATACAATAGTCAGAATTTCTAGCATCACTTCCTGGACAAACCCAACTGCTTAGATTTCAATTCAGAAACTAATATGTGTGCAGAAAGCTAATGCCTTTAGTGTCATAAAATATATTCAGACTTGCTGGCTTTTAAAACAACATTGTATATTAGTTTTTCAGTGTGGTCGTATTATGTAATTTCTAGAGGAAGCAACATGTTAATGTGCTATCAATATTATGGTTTCAAAAATATTGCAAAATGCTCAAAGGAATTCATCCAGAAGTCACCTGGTAAAAAACACATCTCTGAGAAAGTTCTAGCAATTACTGTGGGATCATTTTATGATTTTTTTTTAACAGCCATACATGTATTGATTTAAATTCCTATAATCACATACATTCTAAGAGATTTGGCTTTCCACCTCCACTAAAAGGCTGCAAAATATGTTTTTTAATCGTAACTTAATCCTTGGAAATAAATTATGTGCTTAAAATCTTAGTTATACTGTTAAATGCTTTCATGTAATACAGACCCAGTGAGGTCTGAGGACATTATGAACGTGCTTCACAAATTAAGATCTAACTCCTGCTCCTATTTAGGTTAGACGGCCATTAAATCCATGGAAGTTATGTCATCTTAGGAACACAGCAATTTGGTGTATATTTTGGAGCTGTGGATCTGTAAAATCCCCAAGCAATGCCAAAAATAATGATTTCGCTTCTAAGACTGCCAGGAAGGAGGTTGTCTGGAAGAAGCAACAGCTTTCTGAAGTCTTTTTCAGTAAACTGTTTACTGAAACAAATAAAATCTCATGCCAGCACTATGACTGAAGAGGCAAAAAGAAAAAAAAAAGAGTTTGAGCAAAGGATTTTTTTTTTTAAACCCTTAACTTCCTCCTTGTCCTTGTCTGTGAGGAGTCACTCTTTGGAGCAGCTTTTTGCTTTATCTTCCAGTGTCACGCCAAATGATCCACAGCAGCAACTGCTCAACTCCATTTAACTACTTAAATCGCTGTTTAAGCATTTAAATATAGTGCCCATGCGCCAACACATATAAAGGGGTCTCTGCCCTTCAACCTGGGAAGGTTCCTGCGCCCCAGCCAAAATTCTGTGAGTTATGTGACTCTATTTCCTGGATGATTTAGGCTTGAAGACATATTCAGTCATACCCGCTCACACGGACAGTCTCTCTCAGCCAACCCGTGCTTCTTGAAACACAGGTCTGGAAGCAACTAGAGTGGTGGATTTGGGCGAGTTGAGTTGTGTAGCTCTTCTACTACTTTGCCTAACAGTGGTTCATGGCAGCTTAGAAGCTAATTTGGCTGCTCTCTTTCAGCTGCCCGTGTTCGGTTGCTAGAAATTGTATTGGGTTGATTTGCCACTAGCCTGCCGTACTATCTATTTTTGAAGGAATCCAAGGTGTGTTTGAGCCGGGAGGAGGAAGGTTGCGTTACCCAGGTAAAGCTGCTGCCTCGGCCCTCTCGTGGTAAAAGGCATTACTGCACTCGAAGGGATGCTCATTTTTATTTTCGAGTAGCAGGAGGTATTTCACTTTGGAAACAAAACACTAATTGATTTTAGGTGAGCATTGATGACGGCTTCATGTCTGGAAATTTTCCCATTATATTGCATCAAAGTTTATTAATTTCCCCTGTTCCTCCTTTTCTGTCCCAGACCTAGTTTGTTTTTAATATTAGCAATTAGATTTAAAAAAAAATCCATTCTAATAAAAATTCAGCCAATGGCAAATGCCTTTGAAATGCCAAAGCAATAATTTCTATATTAAAAAATATTTTTTTCTTTATTTCTGTTGGGGATTTTGATGGTATAAAATGTATGCATCTTGTATCTATGTATCTATAAATGTATCAAAACATAGGTGCATATCTTCTTGCTGGATATTGTAGGAACATCTGTTCCTTTGAATTCCTGTGCTGACCCATGAGGTAGATGCAAGAGGATCCCTGAGGACTTCAAGCCATCTGTCCTGTTGCACAGGCAGAAATGCACCTACCTCTGGCGGGGGAAGCAGCGGAACAATTTTCTCGGTGTGCAAGAAGGCTACGCAACACCTGGTGAGTGGGATGCAACCACCCACGAGGAAATGTAGCCAAGCATTGCAGGGTAATAGCCTATCTTTCATTAATATGATGGTTAACGGTCTTTTAAAATCCATCATTTTGCTTTTCCATGATGTCCATCACAGGCAACTTACTTAACAGTACAGATTAATCTCAGACAGGAATCAAGTTCCTTTTTAGTTATATTAGGCCTCTTTTGCCTTCTTTAAAAACCTTAAAGCAAATTATTTACAAGTGGAAGGATGTGTTTTGGTGCCTTTTTATTGCTAGAATTAGAAAATCAGAATCAGCTTTTCTAAAGGCACAGCAAGCTTTTCTGTTGACTTGTGTATTAACATCATTGTAAAACTTAATAGGAGAACTTTAGGGAGGAATTTCTTCTTTTTCTTCTCTGTTAATCTACATGACAGGTTGGATTAAAATAGGATTCAAAGTAATTACAAGGGAGCTGACACACAAAATGGCATAGGTCTCATTTCTGCCAAAAAAATGAGACTAACACAAGCCATTCTAGGTGTTGTTGTTGTTGATCTCCAGTCTCAAGAGGTTCTCTTTGATACTGCCCTCTCCTTTGAAAGACAGTTCCTCTGCTATGTGCAAACCATAAGGGTCTTACCTTTTTATTTTTTTACAATAAATTCTTAAAAAATGAGAGCTACATACCTTTTTTTGAGAACATATCCATGTGTTTGAAGGGATAAAAGCCAAAACATCCTTCTTACCACAAGGCGTAAAGGGAAAACAAAGCCTCTTTTGAGTGAGTTTTGAGGGAATCTGAGCACAGAATGACTATTCCTGTTGTTTTCTTAAATCCTAAGACGTTTCTCCTCCCCTGGAGGTGTTGGAACACTGTGTAATTCAAGGTGGCAGGAAAGCTTGTGTTTTATTTTAGGGCACTGCTAATGAATGCAGT